ACGTATTAGAAACTGTATATATAGAAAGGTTTCCCAGTTTTAACCTGACCAAATATTTTTTGAATGCACCCTATCTCAATCATCCTTATTTGGTCCTAGGACATACCAAAAAAATTTAGGTCTTCAAGACAAGGGGTTCCAGTACAAGGTATTTTCATGTGCGAGGTTGCATTGAATTTTTCGCCTCCCCCTCCTATCTTTGTGCCTCTGATTTATGATTGAACAGTAAAAAATTGTCAACTTTTTAGTTATTTTTGTTCTGAAAAAAAATATTTTTATTTAACAGTTAATGCTAATACACATTAGTCATATAAAGACAAACAAAGTCAAAAATCTTTCCAACCTCTTTTCGGTTTTTTGCAGAACTTGCATGCATGCAAGTTCTGCAAAAAACCGAAAAGAGGTTGGAAAGATTTTTGACTTTGTTTGTCTTTATATGACTAATGTGTATTAGCATTAACTGTTAAATAAAAATATTTTTTTTCAGAACAAAAATAACTAAAAATGTAACTAAAAATATAACTAAAAATAACTAAAAATAACTAAAAATGTCATAGTATCCTGTAGAAGACCTTCGTCATGACTTTCAGCCACAAAATTCTGCACAAGTTTGATGTGGCGCTCAGTTCCTTTAATTACTACTGCTAGATTCTTCATTTTATGTTGAACATGTAGGAATCATTATTTTATGATCATTATTTTATATATTTTAAAGAAGTATTTGATATTTTTATCATAAAATCTACAAAAAAAAGTATAAGAAATAAACAAATGTAAATTAAACTTGTTTAAGACATAAAATGAGAATTTTATACAAAAATTGAAATATTATGTTTTGGACAAATAAAGTATTTTGAACAAATAAAGTCTTGATTCAAATATGTTGTTTTTGCAATTTTTTTTCTTTGTTTTAGCGGCATTAATGCTCTATTCAAATATTTGCGTTTATGTAAAACATTATCTGACCCTTTAATTTTACTTTTTAGATATAAAAAAATTTCTTAAAATATATAATGGCCGATAATGATAATAGGTTTCCTCGCAAATCTTCAAGAACTAGAAATGGTTGGAGTACTGTAAGAAAGATAAACGAGAAAAGCTGCTTGATACATACACGTTGCAGAAGCACTCCTCCAATAAGTTATACCTCTCCAAGGATTAGCAAGGATTGTCAACCAGAAACCTCAGGTACATGCTGCAACATAAAATTAGCTCCACAGAAAACTAATAGGTGTAAAAAAACACTACAAACTTCAGCATCCACTACATCTGTTTGCATTAAACAGGTATTATTTTAAGATTTAATTAAAATAATGAATTAAAAGTAAAAACTTTTGAAACAAATATGTAAAGAATTTTTTCCTATTAAATTAAATTTCCTATTATTATTTCCTGCTTAAAGTACCTATACTGGGAGAAGTTTGTTGTCGAATATATTGGCTCAGGTCAAGTAAGATTATTCAAAATGCAAAACTATCCAGTGCACAAAAAACAATATCAAGATCTATGCTTTGCATTGGAGGGGAATGTAAAATAAGTAACAGGGGAGAGTTTACTTGAGTAAGCATTCTGAGAGAACTTTTAAGTCTTTGGGATATGGGTGAGTTTGATTCAAGATTTTGTGTTACAGAACAAGTGGCAAAGAAGAAACTTGATGAACGCTAACAGAAACTGTGTAGTTTTAGAACCTTTATGAAAAAAAGTAATATCAAAAAAGAATAATGTAAAAAAAAAAAAAGAGTTTTATCAACTGTACTTTTCCTGTTTTTAAAACAGACATTTTAAAACTTATATGAGATTACAAAAATAGAGACAAGCAAGCAAAGACAGAAGCTATTGAGTTCCTGAAGAGAGCATTTAAAGGTGAAATGGTTAAGTTTAAAAGTTGTAAAAAGATGAAAAGTTTGACACTGGAAAAAAGAAATCTTGTCAAGAAAAAATCATAGACAGCGAAAATCGAATATTAGATATAATAGAAATTATGTGTAGAGAAGAACAACATAAAAAAAAAAAAAAAAATGTCAGAGAAAAAAGCTATAGAGGATATAGAAAGATTGAAAAATTTTGAGATAAAATTATCTTCAAGTGGTAAGAGTGTCACTGATACCGACAGTGAATTTGAGCCATACCAAAAAAAAAAAAAAAAAGATCAGTGAAGATAGAGTTAACACGGAGGATCAAGCTATAGCTATTCAGAACTTATTAGAGTATTATGAGCTCACTGACCAGATAATTGATTGTAGTGCTGATACAACAGCCTCTAATACTGGAAAATACAAGGATACAATTAAGTTCCTGGTAGATCATGTGCTTAAAAGACCTGTGCAATGGCTGCTATGTAGGTAATCAAATATTTTGATAAAATAATTTAAAAGTTTATTGCACGAAACTGTTACGAAATTTGTAAATTTTGTATCTTTCAAAATTTATTTTTTAAGGCATCATATATCATAAAGAGCATACTTTTCAATGTCTCCTCTTGTGGCCTAGGCTCCATTACATTATTTGGATGCTTTTAAGCTAGCTTATGAAATGATGAGCAATAAGCTATATATATCCAAATATGGTCCCTTGGGAAAGCTTCTCCATGTAAGCTTTATCCGTATACTTTATAGTTGGTACCTGACCCCACAGCTAGTTATTTTTCAATAGACATTTAGAACTGAAGGAAAGAGCTGAACTAGCTCAGAAGCTTTAAGGTTTCAATTGTCCGCAACCTGATGTTTTTGAAAGGGAACAACCTTACCCTCTAACTCATGTGGTTCCCATGTCAGTTTTGTCCGACTTTATCACTAAGAAGTCCTAGCTGCTCTTCACATACCTAAGTATGACTACGAAAGTAATAAACACATGGATAAAGGATAACTTTGAAAATTATTCCTACAGGTATTTTCAACATCAAATGGAGAATCTAAGATTAGTAAATAACAGGGGTAAGCGCCACATCAAACTTGTGCAGGATTTTGTGGCTAAAAGTCATAGCGAAAGTCTTCTACAGGATACCTTGCAAGTTGTGCAAAAAAACCAAAAAGAATTTGAAAAATACATTAAAAAAAGGGATTTTATGTAAATTTTGTTTTATTTTTGTCTTTATTTGTCTTTAAATGACCAATATGTATTAGTATTAACTGTTAAATGAAAGATTTTTTAGAACAAAAATAACTGAAAAATTGACAACTTTCTTTTGGGAGGGAGGGGGGGGGCAAAAAATTCAATCCAACCTTGCATATGAAAATACCTTGTACTGGAACCAAGTGGGACACCCTAATGTATTGCGAGTATGTTCGTATTTTAAGAATTTGGTTTTCTATACAGATATTTTATATCATGTTTGTATTAAGCTTATGCATATAATGTAATACAATTGTTTTAATTTAAATATATAGTTTTTTGTTTGTTTTATTCATATAGCACTTGTATATATTGTGTATATATGAAAAAAATATTCATATTTGAGTTTTTCCTTCAGTGCAACCCAACCCTCCACCAGACCTTCCTGTTTAGCCCATTGCATATAATTAATTTTATTATAGAGTTTTCTTTTAAAGTGTGTAAACTTTAATTTTTTAAAAAGAAGATGACTTTTTATAATCTTCTTTTAAAACTTAATAGCAGATAGTAGTACCAAAACAACTAAAAACTAAAAACTAATAATATGCATGGTAATATACATGCATGGTACTAGTTTTCGGTTATTTGAAACCAAATATAGTAAATATGTTGCCGTTACATCCAAAGCTAAATTTCCTAAAACCTCGTAAATTTTAGCTAATGGGAGAAATTTTATCAAAAATAACCGCCGTGCCTTATTTGCAAATGTTTTTAATAGTTGCAATTTATACTCAGCGAGTGAAAAGGCCTATCATGCGTTTTTTGAATCGTGTTTTTCGCAACAGCTGAGTTGTCAATTCTACTTTCACAATGCCTATAATCATCGAGTTTTATCATTAAACTTGTTTGTTATGTTATTAAAAATTATATTCATGGCATAAAAAAAAGTTCGTGTCATCTGCAAGGATGTAGAAGAAACAGATAAAATCTTAGAACAGTTGTTTTTTCTGAGTTGCTTTTAAAAGTACATTCTTGATTTTTGAATAAAGGATTAACATATCATTTTAGGGGCCCAAAAATTTGAATCTGCCTAGAGCCCAAGTGGCGTAAATCCGGGCCTGCCAAGGGACCAAGGAAAACGGTTCTACTAAACGAATGTTCGACTTAAGCAAAGTAAAACAATTATTATTGGTTTCAAGGGACTACAGGAAATGGTTCAAAATAACAAAAGTTCAAGTTAACCGGTGTTCGACTTACCGGGAGTTAACTCTACACTACGACAGATCTAGAATTTCATTTATTAATAATAGTAGCAGAAAATAATGACCATGTAAAACCTACAACATCGGGGCCAAACCCGAAGATAAAGAGGTAGAGTTACGTTTTGCAAATTAAAATTTCTGTTAGTCTAAACCATCACAAAATATCACGAAACCTTCAAAGATTATAACATTGCTAAATATTAATCGTTTAAATATTCGGATATATCGTCATAATCGTTTAAATATTCGGATATATCGTCATAATCTTTTAAAAACTTTGCGCAATAGAGATTTATATGATTGTTTTACAAATATATTTATTTGTCATTAAAAGATAAACATCGAGTAAAAATACTTGACTCCACAACAGTGAATGATAATGTAAAATGGAGACATCATAAAAAACTTAAATAGCATCAAATATTATAATTTAAAGGAATTGAAACAAGGTTTCGCTTTTAAAAGCAAGATAAATGTGTGCAAAATTGTATTTTCTATAAAGAAAACATAATGAAGATAATAAATTATGTTATGCTGTTAATCTTAGCGAAAAAAAGTTTTCGACTCGAGTTCCTGCTTACCTGAGAGCGGTAAGAGCGGGCGTGAGCTAGTATTTTTAACAAAAAACCTAACGCATGGAACTACGGAAACTTAGCTTCAATAAAAAACATAAATAGAAAACATTCATATTCGTATGAGGATAATTCATATAAATTCTCTACACTAAACACTTTATTAAACTTAATATATGCACAAATTTAAAAAATGTGAATAAAAATATTCAAATAAAAGTAATAAATTCCAAAAAGAAACAAAAATCTCCAAACAAAATTATAACTAAAATTATTCAAATTTCTAAAAACATGAAAATCGTCAATATCTACAGACTAAATATATTGTATAAATATTAAACAAATAAAACATTGAAATAAAAACATTGAAATAAAAAAAGGAATTAAAAATTATTAAAAATCAGATAAAAAAATTAAAAAAAAAAAAAACAAAAAAAAACGCCAATTTGTATTGCAAACTACGAGATTAGATATATGTATAGTCGATGCATTGCATTACAACAAAGAGAAAAACTTTTTTTTTACTAATTTCACCCCAACAAAAAGAAAATTAAATTTTATTTACATAATGTTTTTTGGCAAAAGAAAAAGAATATACTCATTGTTGGAAAAATACAAAAATGCTAACCTAATCGTCTATGTAAATGCTAACCTAACCGGAAAATTTAATTCTAATATATAACCATTAAAATGCTTTAAAAGTGCTAATCATGCGTTTCAGAATCGGTAACAAGAGAAGGAAGATTGGGAACTTTAGTTAACACGTTGTTAAACCACTCTTTGATATTATTGTTTTTTTCATAGCTTATGATAAAGGGATTACGCTAAAAAAAAAAACGAGTCAATGACACATAAAGAGATCCTTCAAAAAATATACAAAACATATAACTTGTAAACATAAAAGTAAATACTTCAACAAAAGCTTTGTTGATCAATAATATATGATCATTAGACCTTTCCACATTTCAAAAGCGTTCTATTATTTTCTCTCTATATTGTGGAATATCTACTGAAACAGAATTTATAATTCAACAATAAATGCGCGTTTTTTCCTTTTTTCCTGGAAACAAATACTAATAATAGTTATACTTTGTGTTAACCTCAACAATAGTTATACTTTGTGTTAACCTCTAGATTTAAAAGACTTAAGTAATAGACTTAAGTAGTCTTTTTGGTTGATGATTTGTAATTTTTTCTTTATTTACTATTAAAAATTTATCAACTTATATATTTTGTGTGTTTATAGGCATACAAGCTTTAAAAAACTGCAAACAATATTAGAACAAAATAATATGTATAATATTTATAAAAAATATATTAAAAAAAACAGTGTAATTACAAAAATAACGTTTAATATGATGGTAACTTTTAGAAATATAAAAGACGTTTTCTAAATACATCCAAAACAGAACCAAAAATATAGATTTTCTCAAACATGAGAAAATCTATATTTTATAAGAACTTAGCCTATCCACAACCTGGCAGAGAGCAGCCTTATCAGAGAACTTAGCCTATCAAACATGACCTATATACATATAAGAACTTAGCCTAGCCACAACCTGGCAGAGAGCAGCCTATCAGTCCAGACCAAAAAAAAAATTTAAATTTTTAATGTTCTAGTAGATTAGTTTTGTTATTTCAATGAACTCTAAATGTATGTATGCATGTATGTATGCATGTATGTATGTATGTATGTATGTATGTATGTATGTATGTATGTATGTATGTATGTATGTATGTATGTATATATGTATGTATGTATGCTTGTATGTATGTATTAAAATGTTTTTCTCTGAACATTCTATATTGTTCCAGTTACTGAAAAATTGATCTACAAAAATTTTTAGAGCATTCAGAAATATTTAGGAGGTCCATAACATAATAACAACAAAAAAGCTTACAAAATTCTTTGGTACCCTTTGCATCCTTCAACCTGTTACTTACTCACACCCCTCTAAGACTTTTGAGTTGCATGCCACTTATTGTGAATGAGGGGAGTTGCTATTGCCACAAAATGTTTTGTAACTCCAAATTCATTTTCAAACAAGCTTCATTTTATTAATGCATGTTAACTCACAACAAGGCTGCAAACCACCTTTGTTGGGAGTTAACAGAAAACAAAAAAGAGAGTTGAAAAAAAAGTATGGAAAGGACATTGACAGACAACAAAAAACTGTAAACCGTAAGAGCTAGAAAAACATGAAAATGAGAGAGAATTCCTAAGAACTAATGTTCTTGGAAAAAAACTAGACGAAAGTTTTTTGAGCATAAAAGAACAGTTACATTAAAAAGAAGCACTTTAAATAAATGACAAGTAACACAAAATTGAGTTATGGTTGATGGAAAAAGTGATAATAGCCTGAACAGTAAGCAAACTAAACTGAAATTAGAAGAGATTTTATTTTTCAAGGCTTGATATACTACTTTGTCATTAACCTATAAACTAATAAAATAAAACTACTTTATACTTTTTTGTTGCAGTTATGATAACCTCTATATTTCTATAAAATTTCTGCATGTACTATAGCAAAATATATATATATACTATAATAGTTTTGCATGACAAGCTTAAACTTAGAAAGCGACTGTTACATTTTTAAGAGTTTGACATTTTGAAGTGTAAACTGTTAATCAGAAATCCATCTGAACTTAAGTAAAGAAATATATTTATTATTAAAGAACACTTTGCTATTAGCAACCCTTTTTTTAAATAATTTTAAGCTCTTCATTATCTAATAATATTCTTTTTTTATTCTTACTTTAGTTTCCACACACTGTTGATGAAATTTCATATGGAAGACAGATTTTTCATTAACTCACTATGTCGCAGTTAAATGTTTAAATTTATTGCACATATCAGAGACTAATTAACACTTTCATTTATTATTAAAAAGTTTTCAGTAAAACAAAATAAATAATTTTTAGAACATGAATAATGTTACCATTTATGTCTAAAGAGTTCTTCATTTGTAAGTTTTCATCCAAATAAATGTCAAAAATCATTCAACGAAATTGTCTTTTGGGTAAATTTATCTGGTAATTTGATCAACTTTGTTTAAATAATCTTTCTTTTAATGTTTATAGATTGATAATGAGCCAGTTATTACAATCTAAGAACTTAGATGTTTCTTGAAATGTATTGTCCAATAAATCATTAAACTTTTATGAAATGAATAGTTCATTATTTGCTTTAATTTGCAATAAAGTTTTACAAATATTTGTGAGTCAAATCTTTTTCATGTCAATGGTTAAAGCAAACTTTGAAGACCTTTGATAAACATAGTTGCGGAGGTCATGGTTGTATTTTTATAAGATATCTTTCAACTCTCATTAAAACTTTTTTATCTTTTTTTGTTCTTTTTTTCCCTTCTTTTTTTGAATACACAGTCATTATTTGTTCACATTCAATATTTTCAAATAAAGCAATAATTTTAAGTTATGCAATATTTTTAAATTATGCAATATAAAATTATGCAATATTTTTAAACTATGATATATTTTTAAATTATGCATTTTTACAAAATAATTCCATCGGGAAATAATTCACAAAAGTTGCTATAAAGAACAATAGATAATTTTCTGATAATTATATTTTAAAATAATTTTTAATCACTAAGCAACAATTCAGATTTGAAAACCTTTGTGTGAAGGAAAGGTTTTTAATTTTTTTTTTTAAATACATCTGCAAATGATTTTTAATACTAGTGATTGCAAAATTACATGTGAAATTAAAAACTTTGCATCATAACTTACTTGTCAACTTGTTCCCCTAGTCAATTTGTCCCCTTGTCAACTTGTTCCCTTTTTTCAAACAACAGTGCTGCATATGTACATACATATACACATACATACACATGTACACATAAAAGTGTATTTGTATGCAAGTGTTCAAGTATATATCTGTGGTAATAAATTTCATATTAAACACTAAATAAAAACATTAATCAAAAACATACCAGTAACTCATTATATTTTGGACGCAACTTGAAATCTTTTGCCATACTATTAAAAGATTTTTAAACATTTTTATTAAGTCTTTAAATTGTACAACATAAAAATTAAAAAAGTATTTAAAATATACTACATAAAATTAAGAAAGTCTTTAAAATATGTAAAATTGAAAAAGTCTTTAAAATCTTTTATAAAAATAATGCAAAAATTTAACAAGGCAATAGTAAGCAGATGTATGAACTAACCAGCTATTGATACAATCAAGACAATTCTTAGAAAAAATCTGCTGTTCTGTATTAACCAGTTTTGGAGGGTCACCATCAATTACTTGTGACAACTGATCAAAGATTGTTGTCCATTTTGGGTAAGGAAACTTTCCAATAGCAATTTCAATCTACAAATAATTTATAATAAATTTAGTGAGAATTACTAAAATTAAAAGAAACTTAAAAATTAAAAAAACATCTTCAGTTAAAAAAATAATAATTTGCAATCAAATCAATTGATTATCAATTTAATATTGTTAAGAAGAAAAAGAGTAATTAAATTGGTCATTTGAAAAACAACCAAATTCTTTTTTTATAATTTTTGAGAAAAAAAGTTAAAAAGTCAATAAATAATAAAATAAAGGAAATAATTTTTGAGAAAAAAAGTTAAAAAGCCATCGCCCTAGTCAGCAATATCTTATAGTTTTATGTAGTAGCATCATATTATATCATTGAAAAATTACATAAGTGTGACTTACTTATTGAGTATTTTTATATTTTGTTTATTTACCAAAAATCAGCATTTTTGTTTTTTAAATGACCGATTCAAATACATAAATCAGAATAATGAATTATATATAAAATACAGAAATTTTTATTTTACTTTTTTATATAAAATATTTTTATATTAAAAGGTTGTGTTATAAAAATTTATTTAGAATTTTAAATTTAAAATGTATACTGCGTTTATGGTAACAGAGTAAATATGGTAATGTATGTGCTTAAAGAAAAAAAATACATATCTAACACTTGTAAAAAAAGAAAAAAACAAAGTTAGTTGACAAAAGAGAGGAAGTGCATAAATTACACCTATTTTTGAAAAAAGAAAACACAGAAAATAAGCCTTCTCAGATTGGATTTCAGACCACTTGGTCTAAGTATCAACCAATCAGTCTCATTATTATTATCATCTTAGAACTTTTAATTAACAAACATCTTTGAACTTTTAATTAACAAAGCCTCAATAATGTACTTGGAGAAATTACGCCAATGAGCAAAAGAAATATTTTAATACAGATTTTTATCCTTTCAATTTATTTCTGACTCGTAAACCATTATAACAGAAAGAACCTACCATGCAATAGATGGAAGCAGAGAGGCAAGCAAGTATGGCTCTTGATATACCAAAAATTTCATTAAAACTATTGAATCATTTTTAATTCTAATAATTTTAATTTTAAAAATAATTTTTTTTCTAATCAAAGTTTTACAGCTGTCCTTGATGAACAACACTCTCTTTTATTTCTAATTACTTATTTATTATTATTATTTCTAATTACTTCTAAATATTTAATAATAATAAATAAAATAATAAATAATAAATTAATAATAATAAATAATTAAAAAACTATAAATAATAAAAACAATCATAAATAAATAAAATAAATAAAATAATTACTAATTATTATTATTATTTCTAGGGTATCACATGGTTCCACCTTTGGTTCTGTATTGTTTCGCATTTATTTTAGCAATCTCTCTGATAATATTTTTTCTGAAATACTCCAAAATCTCTGAAGCAGCTCAATTTACTGACGAGACACAACTATTTACTCCAGTCTTAACAAAAAAGCATCACTTTTTGATTGCTTAGAACAGGGAGCTAATCTTAAATAAGACTTTTCACTTGCGACAGCTTGAGGCAGTTAGTAAACTTTAACAAAACTCTATGGCAACACTCTTAGTAAATTACTTTAAAAACATAAAACTAATAATATTATAAATATAACAGTAAATAGTAACTCACTAATGACATTCCAAGAGACCAAACATCTGAGCGAACATCATAACCACTTCTTGCTTGTGATGGGTCAATTCTTTCAGGCTGTAGATTTATTTTTATAAATTTTAAAACATAATATTACAATAACACAATACAACAAAACTAATAAGTAGAAAATATATTTTTACTTACAGCCATATATGGCTGACACCCTGCATCCCTTGTTCTTGCAATTGAATCAACAAGTTGACCACTAATACCAAAATCACAAAGTTTAATTTGGCCTTCTTTATCAACCAATATATTTGAAGGTTTTACATCTAAGCATTAAATAATTTTTAACAGAACTTTTAAAAATTTAAATTACATAAAATTTTATAAATTAAAAAAAATATAAATTTAAAAAATGCTTTAAATAAAATTTTGATAAAAAAGTTTAATAAAAAAATTTATACCAAAATTACAGCAATAGAGTAAAATAAAATCTATTGTTATGGTTACTATAGGCAAAATAAATTACATAAAAAGAGAAAATGTGAGGTAAAAAATTATGAAGAAATCAAACTTTTTTGAATACATGTTATGCAGTATATAGATGCATGTGATACCTATTAAAATATAAAAAAGAGAATGGCATTGGTATACGAGTCATTTGCTTGTTGTTTTTATTGATTGAATTTTTATAGCACTATGTCCCATCTTAAGCAGCCTAAAAATCTGAAGGATCTTCAGGCTGCACAAAGGACGTCAGGTCAGCAAAATTTTGTTTTTAATTTTTTGTATCCTGTTATGAAATGATTAATGATTTATTGGTTATAAAAACATAACTTCTGTTAGATATGACTTGTTTAGAGATTTCATTGTTTCTTATTTTTAAATGTTTTAACAAAAAAAATCTTAATTTGTTTTAAATCAAAAAAAAAGTTCTTAACACATGCGAGACACGTAGTTGTACTTTTTTTGAATGTTGTCACCAGAGCTCTTGAACTAGTGTAAGTTTTTTAACAAGTTGGTTGGTTTTTTCTGCATCACTATGCTACTTTTCCGTATTACTTTACTGTAATTTTGTGTTTAAATAAACCAATTTAAATTTAAAATTGACCTTTTATTTATATTTGCTTTGCAAATATAAATTAAAGGTCAATTTTCAATTTAAGAAGAAAAAAAAAACTTACAAACTTCAAGATTATTAAATTCGCAAAATTTTTTGCACAGGCTAGAAGTAGTTTCTTATAAAATATATGTTGATTTTCCATTTTTTGCATAGTTGGGAAGTAACTTAGTATAAAATGTTGATTTTTTATCACCAACACTAACAATAATACAAAATAAATAAACTCATAGAGTTACCTTGTTTTTGTAACCGGCAAATCAAATTACATCTGAAAAGCTTGTCAGAATGTAGTTGAAAATTCTTTTACTAGTAAATACTTTAGGCTTTTTACTGGTATTGTTCACTCAACAAATAAAGTTGGTCATTTAATTCAAAAAATGCATTTGAATATCATTATTTAGGAAAGTCAGATCGGTTTTATATTTTTGAAGAACAATTCTCAAAATACGACTAACTAAACTGCTACATTGCACATATTATTTAAACATGTATTTGGTATTTGTTTAAAATAAATAATAATAGATAGCTACTGGCTTACATATTAATCATGCTTATTTTCTAAATTGTTGTAAATAACAGACTCCTATTTTTGTAGATTGTGCTTTATTTGCTTATTTGACTCAGGAGACAAAAACCATTTTCTTTTCATTTTTACTTTAATGTTCTACTTTAATGGGACATTTGCCTTACAAAAAAAGTTGATTTGAAAATCAATTTAGCATACAGTAAGTAATCAAGGTAGGATAGTTACTGAGTTTACCCTGCTTATTTGTTGCACCAGTATGTTGTTTTTGCAACTATTTAACAATGCATGATATAATATTTCTGATTGCCAACTGCCCTTGTTTTCAATAAAATCATCTAAAAGCTCCTAATTTTTTGTTGTTATACCAGCCTGTGCTAATGTAAATAGTTGCCCCACCTTAGAATTGACCTGTTGTTTATTCATCAAAAATTGTTAAGACCTCTCTCTGTTTGTTTGAATGAACCTAAAGCTATATATTTGTTTGCTGTCTTTGTTTCAGGTTTCCGAAAACTTATCACAAAATTTGTTAATAGCCATCTTGCATCAAATATAACATTGTATAAAAGAATTGTCTTGTATTTACACTTTTAAATCATTACTTTGTTTTTCAAAAAGTTTGAAAAGTTAAAGCAATTAGTTGAAATCAATAGTGAATTTGCTAGCACAAGATTTGGCTTGGTTTAACAAGGTTTGTTACTTTTGAGTTAAAGAATTGTATTACTAAAGCAGGGTAAAAGCTTCATTTGTTCATTTATTTGAGGAGAAAATCATTTTCATAAAGCTGAATTTGTTCAATCATTTGAGAAGAAAATCATTTTCATAAAGCTGAATTTGTTCAATCATTTGAGAAGAAAATCATTTTCATAAAGCTGAATTTGTTCAATCATTTGAGGAAAAAATCATTTTCATAAAGCTGAATTTGTTCAATCATTTGAGGAGAAAATCATTTTCATAAAGCTGAATTTAAAATAAATCTTATGATAGTAGAAATGTTAGAATATAAGTTCAAAATCTACAGTGAAAGTGTCAAAAACTATAAAGAAAATGTTCAAAATCTATAGAGAAAGTGTGAAAAATCTACAGAGACAATGTCAAAAGCTACAGAGAAAGTGTCAAAAGCTATTAGATATATAGGTATGACATGTTGTAAAAGTAATGTTTAAACTGCTTTAAGTTATTTAAACTGCTAAACATTAAACATTACTAAATGTTGTTTAAAAGTCTTTTTTATTCAGAAACATTCAGAAGACCTGTCTGTATAACTGGCTAAAGTAAGCAACACTCAAACTGCTACTAAAACACCACAAAATTTTTAAATTTTATTTTTTCTCTTTTAATAAATTGTCTTGATAATTTTTTTTTGGTGCAAACAGGCAACAGTTCACAAAGCATATTTTTGATGCAAACAAACTATTTGAAACTTGAATACTAAAAAGACTTTTATAAAAATACTTAAAAACTTTTATTGAAACTTAAACTTTCACAGTGATTACAATCAAGAAACTTTCACACTTTCTTTCTCACAACCTCAAAATTTGTAAAAAATCTTATCGTGAAAAATAAAATAAAATTGCATTATATGTAAATAATAAATAAATTTAATTTAATACCTCTATGTATGATTTCTAAATTTGTTTTCAAATAATCTAATGCCTTTATGACCTGAAAAAAGAAATCATTTAAATTTAATATTTAAAACCAAATATAATGAATATTTCAGGGTTTTTAATCGGAGGATTTCGTGCAATTCCGGAAAAACAACATTCTTTCGTAAGGAGAAACAAACATTTTCGCCAAACAACCTTTTGAAGTCTATAAAGAAAATTTGTTTGCCAGACTGATTTTAATTGTAAAAATTAACATCTTTAATCCCAAAATGTTTATAATGAATTTTTATTTTCAGTATAATAACATTAAATTTTTATGGTTTTATTTTTAGAAATATTGATAAAAAATAAAATTTCTTCCGAAATGAAAGTATTTTGCATCACAACATACGAAAGAGTTCTTAACGGAAATAAACTTACAAAACGTGCCATAATAAATATATATAACGATGTTTTTTGAACTCATTACTTATAATAAAAATAAGAATGATGGGTAGGAATATACATGTTTTTTTTTAAAGCATATGAAATTTTTGAAACAGGTTCGAATATGCTTAAGCAAATAGTAAAAAGACTCAAAAATATGCTTAAGCTTAAGCATATTTCTTCTAATAAAATATACCTATTTCAATAATTTCTAAAAGTGTGCACGTTACTAAAGGTTAATGGGTATAAGAAAAATAAAAAGTTGACTTATGCTCTGTATTTTTGTTTTGGTTTTAATGTAGCTGAATTTATGTTGTTATAAACTTCGGTTTTTGTTAGTTTAAATTTAGAAAAATATACATTTAAAATTTTTAATTAAATAAAAATAAAATTTTTAAAATGGTTTATCGAGGCTCAGCAATATGCTTTCATAAGCTTATTTTTTTTCCAAATCTGAGCCTATAAGTGTTATGCTTATAAAAAAACAAACAAGTCAGGCTTTCACAGGAAGACGTGCGATTTCACGCCTTTATATGACCACGCAAAAAAAATATATTTTAACGATTTGATCACGGCATATTTTTAAAATTTAAAAACGCGATACAAAAACTTACCTAAACTTATCTGGAAAAAAAATTTTAAAAAATAATAAATATAAACAAAAGAGAAAATAAAAAAAACAAACTTAGTTAAAGCAAAAACACAAAATATATATATATATATATATATATTATATATATATATATATATATATATATATATATATATATATATATATATATATATATATAACGCAACTAAAACAAAACTCATCAAACTAAAATGCTTAGTCTATTTAATTTACACATTAAAAAACCTTTTCAATCTTTGTTTCAACATTTTTATATATTTTTTATTTATTTAATATGTTCAAAAGTTAAATATTTCTCATAAAAAATACATAGTTATATAAATAAAATAAAAAATATTTTATTAATACTTTTTTTTAAATTAATTAGAAGCGTTTTTTTTTACTCCATTAAAAGCGTTTTGATAATATAAAAGCATTTAAGATCAAACTTACAGTTTTCTAAAACTTTTTTTTTTTAACAAAATTTTGTTTATCTTTTTAAATGCATTAACTTTAATCATTCTTATATTTAAATTCTTTAAAGAGACTTTCACAGTCGTAGAATGTCATTGTTTATAAAAACAAAACAATTTTTTATTTTTTAATAAGATTTATTTTAGAAATGAACACTTAAACAATTTAATCTTTAAACTTAAACTTAAACAATGTTTTAGATTAAAAAAATATATACAACTATCAATTATATTTAAAAAACAAAACTTTTTTTCAGTAAATTGTTACTTTATTAAAAATCGTTTCGCTAATATAAAAACATTTGTTATGAAGTTTTGATGTAATTAATTTCACTTTTTTAGAATATTTTTTTTATTTTAGCGCATTTCTAAAATGTTTTTTGAATTAGCCACGGTCAAACCGTCATAGCAAAATGTAACTTGCGTGGTCATATAAAGACGTGAAATCGCACGTCTTCCTGTGAAAGCCTGCAAGTATATACAGTAGAATTCCATTATCTCTGTCCCTGGATAAGTAGGACTTTGGGGCTATCCAAAAATGATGTCAGTAAATATATGGGGGAGGGGGGACTGAAAAGTTTGACAAGAATTGACAATGGGGAGGGGGTGTTGAGACCAACATGATGTTCATTTAAAAAAAAAAAAATTAAGTTCGAGCAGATTTTAAAGGTATGTAGAGTCCTGTTTGAATACGCTTCTCGTTCAAAAAACATCGTTATATATATTTATTATGGCATGTTTCGTATAGACCTTAGAAAATATCGCTTTTTAATTTTAATAACATATAAATTTAAATATATTACGTATTCTGTTATGTAGAACATGGAGGTCAAAAAATGCTATCTTAAGTAAAAAGAATTTGTTCAACAAACTCTTTTTACTTAAGATAGCATTTTTTGACCTCCATGTTCTACATAACAGATCTTTCATCACCTTCATAATAGTGACAACCTCTCTTCTGTTAGTTATTCTTTTAAGATTAAGTTCATTGTGCTTCTACGCCCTTCCCTTGTAATTCCCTTCTTCTTGTAATTCCCATTGTGCTTCTACGCGCTTCCCTTGAAATTCTACGCGCTTCCCTTGCTTTACTAAGTTCTACTTAAATTATGATGAAATGTACGTAAAACAACTTTTTCAAATAATATAAATCATTTTGCTTTAAATCTTGTGCTTTTTGTACTAGACATCTGTCCTAAACACTTTGTAATAATTTCTAGCTAACTCTGAGTCTAATATAATCTTTTCTCCTTCCCTGAGGCTCCTACAGCCTATTGTGTTCCATTAAAAGTAACTAGTTTTCGAGTCCAGTTATGAATTATAAGCAATTAAAGGTTCACATTACTATTCATTTTCCTGATTTATAGAATCCTATTTGCATATGTATAGGTGAGTTTCGACTTATCTGTTTTTTCACGGGAATGGGATAGGAAAGGGAAAAATAATCACGTGAGCATGCGTAGTTTTCCTTCGAACATATTAAAACTTATACTATGCATGCCCATGTGATTATTTTTACCGTCCCTTTCCCGTTCCTGTAAAAAACGGATGAGTGGAAACTTGCCTTATCTCTTTCTGTAAATTCTGTTTTATATTGTTTCTTAATTATTTAATAAATATTACTATTAAACTAATTGTATGAACGTATAGCTCATTCAGTTAAGACATAACATTTGGCCGCGTAGACCAAGGTTCGCATCCCGCTGTATCACATATATTTCTTCTCTTTTTACTCTTTCTTGATATCATTTACTTTAAGAGAGATCTCTCGTTCTTTATAATAAAGTATTTAACTGTTTATCACACATCCTCTTTATACTTTCTAAAGAGAAAGGCATAACGTACACATGTCCATCAAAGCTTAATCATACTACGTCACTCGCGTGATAGTCATTACTTTTCTTCTTTTATATATTAGTTGCACGCGCTCCCTTACTTTTTAGTTTCCCTTATTTACTTGTGAAATATACATAAACAATTTTTAAATTTTAATATAAAGTACTTTGCTAGAAGTTTGTGCTTTTTCACTGGACATCTGTCCAACATCTTTTTAAATCTATTTTTTAATCCTGACTCTAATATAATCTTTTCTCTTTCTTTCCTGAGGCTCCTACGGCCTATTGTGTTCCATTAAAGTAACTGGTTTTCGAGTCCAGTTATAAATTATTAACATTGTAGATGTAAATACAAGGTATTTACATCTACACAAATAGCATACTTGCTTTGTGGGGAATTCGATGTAAGTTTCCAAGAGACATGTTATAAATTAAAAATTTACCAACACTTTACTATTGTATGACCATTTGACTGAAAATCTAACTGTTAACAAATATCAACAATTTGTATATAAATTTAACAATCATTATTCGATTTCAGCGGATTTTAAAATGTGCTTTAAAGCAAACACATAAAATCATTTGTCATTATTATCGAAGAACACTTCAACAACTCATGGAAAGACGATGAGTGATTGAATTTATATAATAGATATTGAATAAAATTTTCAATAGTTTGTTTACTATTTGATGAGGTATCAACTGTTTTATAATATAACATGCTGAGAAATAAATGTATAATTTAACCAGAAAAAATTAATTGTGCTTACACATATCTTTAATGTTACTTGAAGGAGGAAGGAGGGGGGGGACAAAATCTGACATCATATATAAGGGGAGTTTGACAAAGAGGGGAGGGGGGTTAAAAATTGAGAAAAATCACAGACATCAATTATGGACAGCCCCTTTTACTAAGTTGGAAAGTTTTTCAATTTTCCTTGAACGCTCTATAAATACCAAGAGCTACGTTTAACTCTGATCATTGAGAGTCCAACTTAACGGGATTTTACTGTATATATATGTATGTATGTACTATATATGTATGTATGTATGTATGTATATATATATATATATATATATATATATATATATATATATATATATATATATATATATATATATATATGTATATATATATATTAGGTTTATTCGTATAAACATTTGAAGAATCATTTGACAACATTTTTTTATAATTTTATTATTTATTATTTAAACTGTTAACAGTTAATATCTTAAATATATCGCAACATAAAATCTTTTGCATCTTTTTCGTAGCTGCACATTCCGGAATGCTCCTTCTGTAAGGAACTATTTCGTAAGTATTCTTACAAAATGATTTGTTTCGCAAGTTTTCTTTCGCAATGCTTTATTACGGAATTTTATTTATATTTTCGTATAGTGCATTACGGAATATGCATTTTCGCATGCGCAACTTCCGCAATAACAATTCTATTACGGTAGATAAAGATGCGAAATTTTCGCAAGTTTTGTTTTTTGGCAAACAACCCTAGAATATTTTAGATATTTATAACAACCTAATATTAAAATATTTAGAAAAAAAGACAAGTAAAATATTTTTATAACAAATGACAAAATACTGATGTTTATGCATTAAAATCAAATGTAACTTTTTTAGACCTTAAAAATAAAACCATAACTTAATGAACAAAAACAAATTACAATAATGAAAATAAATTACAATGATAAATAAATTTCAACAATGATAAATTCTTGAGTTATTGGGTGTGATCTTGTGACACAAATTTCATTGTCTTATTTTTGAAAAAAAATATGATCTATTTGTTATTTCAATTAAATTCAGCCCAGTTTTAAAAGAGAAAACCGCATGATTAACCTTTTTTCAGTTTTTCAGAATTTAATTTTACAATTTAGTTTTTGGTATGAAGAGTACCAATATTAAAGAATATTCAAACTTAATTTGATGGAGGCCTAATTATCAACTACTATTGACATGTGCAAGAATTAACTTTTTATTGTGCTGTAAATTTTCAAAACTTATTTTATAAGAATTACATTACATTTACAGATAAAATACTACAATAAAAGAAGATTATACTGTACAAGTTCCGTAACAAATTAGTTTTAACACTGAAAAAGAAATAGGTTAGTAGGCACTTTTTTAACTTATTCTTTTACATCAGTGGTAAAAATTATTTCTAACTTTAACTTCTTATTTCATATCTAATAAATCAACATATAGAATAGGTTCAAAGGTATTGATAGCTAAAATTAAAATTGTTAAAAAATATATACTTTAGCCTTGACAAAATGTTGTCATATTTTCACCATCATTAAAGCCACCTGTATCTAGAGCCCAAACCATTTTAATTAAATATAAACTAATTAAAACTACTTTGAAACTAAACTAATTTCACAATAAATATTGTGAAAAAAGTTTAGTTTCAATCAATATTAAATTATGTGGTTTCAATAAATATTAAATTATGTAGTAAAGTAGTTTTAATTAGTTTATACTCAATCAAAGTGGTTCTAGGCCCTAGGTACCCATGTACCTTGGGCCCAAACTATAATTTCATAATAAATAAATATTATTTACATTGTTTCATAATTTAATAATAAATAAATTTTATTATTTTCATTGCCAAAACATCTTACTTCAACATTGCTGTTGAATCATTGACAGTAAAATAATCCATCTTGTTCTGCAGTCAAGAATAAATGAAACCTCTTTTTTATCTTGATTTTTTTCTTGGAGGATGTCATTTTTGACTGGAGATTTTTTAAGTAACTTAAAAATTTTTCTGACTTTTGTAATAACAGCTTTGCACTTTTTGAATGGGAATACTTTCATTTATAGCAGCATCAAGCAAACTGACTTGACTGATCTGGTTTAGATTCATCACTGCTGATTTCATCTTTGTCACTTATTACTTGCAAAAAGCTTTTATCAATTTATATATAAGGCTTCTCGTAAAACACTTTTTGAACTACTAAATGTATTTTGTGTTTTTTAAACTTAACCATCATGGAAGCCACCTGTAACTGAGCAGACAATGCTGTCGTTGATGTCCAAATTTGTCCACTTTTTCTGTGACAACTGCTGCAGCTTTGTCACAAAAAAAGTTGTGACTCAAAATTCTGCTCTGCAGAAATTTGAGTCAACCCCAGAATCCAGTATGTGTGTTTTTGATAAGTATTATTGTTTATGTATACTCGATTTTTCAAAGAAGTGTGTTCGTCTAGTGTAACCGAAAAGTGTTCTCCAATACTCACTGAAGATTTAAAAGTGTTTTAAAGGTCATTTCCCACATAAGTTGCAAACTTTGTGATTTTTTGGAAAAAATCATAGTATTTTCACACAGATCGAATGAAAGAACTGTTAACAATGACATGGAGACTAAATCTTTCTTTTCAATGGAGCCTTCAGTCTTGAAATAACTTCTTCAATTGTCTGCTTAAAAAAATAAGTTAAAATCTAAGACTTTTTTGATGCTGTAGCAACAGCTTAGTTGATTGAAAAGTAATTATTAAATTTTTAACTTATTGATCATCCTATTTCAAGCTTTTAAAATATTTTAAAGCATTTATGAGCTTAAGAATTATATTTACCATTTTTGTTTTTTAGATTTTTGTTAGAGAGACAAACAAACAAATAATATGGAATGATATCTGTGTTTCTAAAAGTCATATAGAAATCATAAAGAAATTTTAAACAGTAAGAAAAATTGAACTCTATGATGTGCAGTTGAAATCAATGCTTCTTTTTACAGCAAAATATTATTCACTAAGGTAGGGAAAAAAAATCATTATTTACCGAAACTTACCAACATAATTTTACCAATAAATCATTTGAGATTGTTGAATATTTTTAAAAGATGAGTCCAATCTTTAAGATTGATTTAGAAGTTTTGTTTTCACAAACTTAAACATGATTTTCTTTGCAAATTTTGTGAGAAAATTACTATTCAATTATTTTTAATATCTTTTAGATCTTATCATGGACTTTCTTGAAAAAAAAATAATATTTAAACTTATTATATGCGGTAGTGATGTAGAGGTAGAGGACTTGCTTCATAGGCAAAAATTTCTGAGTTTGATCCCCACCATGTCCCTGGTAGTATTGTGCTCAAATTGTTTCTCCACATAGCGACCATGTTTGTCAAAGATAGTGTTTCAGAGTAAAAGAGTTGAGAGAAAGTTAAAAATGTATTAAAATAATAGCAGTTAAAAATATATAATAATACTTTTTTAATTTTACAACATATTGATACTTAATGTTGTAAAGTTAAAACTGAAAGTTTTAGTTTAAAGTATTTCCACAACCCAGTTTGGAATATTTAAAAATAGTAAAAAAACTATTAAAAAAAACAAAAAAATTTTCTAGTCATAATTAAAGGTAATTTTTAAAAAACCACAAATCTTTACGCAACTATTTTAATTTACATTTAAAATAGTTGCGTAAAGATTACTTTGCGTAACCATCAACATTTAAGTGACCATTAAATTTAGCTTAAATGTTGATGGTTGCTTTATTAAAAATAAGCATTGAAAGAGAGATTTTTATTCTATTTAAGTCTACTATGTGTGTATATGTATATATATACACACACATACACGCACAAATATATATATATATATATAAATATATATATATATATATAAATATATATATATATAAATATATATATATATATAAATATATAAATATATATATAAATATATATATATATATATATATATATATATATATATATATATATATATAAATATATATATATATATAAATATATATATATATATATATATATATATATATATATATATATATATATATATATATATATATATATATATATATATATATATATATATATATAGAGAGAGAGAGAGAGAGAGAGAGAGAGAGAAAGAGAGAGAGAGATTAAATAGATAGATTGAATAAAAAACTCATATATATCCAAGTTTTTTTAATAATAGTCTTATTAACTAAAGAGTTTATGCATTTAAAAATTTGCTTTTGATATTTACACACAATCAGTGGGTAGCTACTTTTTAAACATATAAGTTTTTGTCATATAAGTTAAAAAGACCAGACCAACCAAAGATTGTGAAATTAAAAAGTTGTTACTTTATATATATATATATATATATATATATATATATATATATATATATATATATATATACTTTGAGTAGAAAAAAACAACTTTTAAAAATCTGCTAAAAAAAGCAAGAAGAGCAAATTGAAGTTTATCTTGACTGAATGCAGATCAATTTATCAAATGTTTTAAATTATTTTTATGTATATAAAATTTTATATAATTTTTTATAAAATTAAAATTAATAAAATTTTTAAAGCACTTAGAAACAGTCACAGTAAAAAAATGAGACTTAATTGATTGACAAGTAACATGAGAATGAATTTTAGTAAATGGCACAAGCGACACTAGCTCTTTAAAGCATTAAGTTTCATATTAAAAAAGAACTGAGTTAAATAAAATCTTTTTTCTACTTTATTTTATATTTATTAATTTATTTTAATTTTTTTTTTTTTATTAGTCGCCTCAATTTTAAATTCTAAACTTCTATTTTATCTCTTAACATTATAAATTGCATTTAAAATAGAAGTTTATATATTATAAACTTGTATTATAAATATATACTTACACAGTAAGCTATTTTTCCTATGATCTCTTCTGGTACTTTCTGCATCAAGACTTTATGAACTGCTTTGTAAGTTTTCTCTACAGATGTCGTCATTAACTCCATACATATCCAACAATCACCCTGCAGATAAATAATATATTAGTTGCATATGTAGGTATATTATATTATATCATCATCATCATCATCATCATCATCATCATCATCATCATCATCATCATCATCATCATCATCATCCAGGGTTGGCAAAAAAACCCAACCCAAAAAAACCCAACCCAAAAAAACCCAACCCAAAAAAACCCACCTTAAAAAAACCCAATAAAACCCAAAATATATTTGGGTTTTTTAAAAAATGACCTATTTTACAACTGATATCTCTGATTTTAACACTTATAAATGCTTTATTATCAGCAAGTGCAACCTTTATACTGTAATTACTCTTGTAAACACTGTATTTATATACATAATGATCTTTAGAATATACCCAAAATCGATCAATCTGTTTTTGTAGCAAGTTGGTTATTTATTATTTTTTTAAAACATTTAGCAAGTTATTATAAATGTTATTGAAATATGTATTAAAACATTAAATTATTAAATACTTATAAAGGAAATAAAAATCATTCTATTAACTAAATTTCAAGACATTACTAGTTATTTAGTATCTTTATTCTCCTCCCGAATGTCTATATTCCTTTATATTGGTATTTGATCTTTTATTTTTTAAAGCTTATGTTGTTAACTGCCAAAAAAAATTACTAAGCCACAAACAAAATACTATATATAAAAATTATTATACTTTATTTACAGTTTAGAAATGGAAAGTTGTCAGGCAAAAAAAAAATGCTACAGTTTACTAGATTTGTCCTTAAGTGCATACAACTTTTAAACTTAAAAAAAAATTAAGTTATGTGCAAGCAAGCTTGCAACATGTTTGCTCATTCAATGAGAGAACATGTTGAAAACTTGTATGCATTTCACAAGGACAAGATTTGTTGGTAAAAATGACACTCGTGCTCATCTGTCTTTTGACAGGTTTTGAATATTTTGCATCAGCTACAAGTTTACAACATGTACCACCAACAGGGGTGACTATGAACAGCGGGTTGAAAATTAACATCAGTATCAAGTTGCTAAAAGGTGAAGAAACACACACACAGTAGAGCTATATAATGTGTTACTTTGATTCAGTTTGCAATTTGCATTGCAAAACTGAGCCGGTAAAACATCTTCAAGGAAAAAAAAAAAACTTGGTGGCGAAGACACTGTAATGGTTCTTAATAAATTTACTTTATATATATTTAGAAACAAAGTTTAGGCAAAAATCTATTTTTTGCCAGTCCAGTTGATCAGGCCGATAACTTTTCCAGGAAGCTGGACAGTATAATGTTCTGATAAAAAAAAATGTAGTGATTAGGCTAGCAGTTTTCTTTTATGATACAAAAATGTTTAAAAAGTGTTCATAGTCATCCTGATTGATAATAACTTATAAGGTTGCAACATCATGTTGCAAACTTGTTGATTACATGTTGTAAACTTGTGCAAAGTAGTTTTTGAAATGATATGTTGAACATGTTAGTAAAAAAAACTAGTTTGCAACATTTATATTGTCTTACCAACTTTGAATAACTCAATTGTCATGATTTTTACACTGATTTTTTTTTAGTCAAAAATATTCTGAACATGCTTTTAATTTAGAGCAATTAATTAACATCATTTATAGTTGATGGAGTCCCTTTTTGCACTATAGGTAAAATGTGCTAGTAGACTAGTAGCAAAACATTTGGCTCGCAGCCAGAAGGTTGGGGTTCAAATTACCTCTGCTGAAATTACTCAATCTATTTCCCCACACAGCGCCTTTTTTTAAAAATTTTAGTTGTTAATGTTGTTTGTTAGTAAAAATGGTAATGTTAAGGATTGAGACAAAATATTTTTAAAAAATGAGTTGCTCCCTTGACTGAAATGGTGATTGGAGCAATAGGGAGGTGAATTTATGAAATTAAAAAAAAAAAATATTGTATTCATACAATTATAAAAATTTGGTATTTTGATCGATTTTTAAAAAAACCCAAAAAACCCATAAAACCCAAAAAAACCCAATAAAACCCAAAAAAACCCATTTGGGTTGGGTTTTTTTAAAAAACCCTGGGTTTTTTCCAACCCTGTCATCATCACCATTGTCATTTTCATCATCATCTTCATCGCTACCATGGTTATTCTTATCCCCATAATCATTATTATAATATTTCATGTTTCACTTATATCCAGGTAACTAAAATAATTTTTTTTTATTTTCATGCAACTAATCTAAATTATACTTTGTTACATAAACACGCCAGATGTTTGTAATAAAAGAAATCACCTCAATAAATATTGCGCCATAAAACTGAACAATATATATACAATCAGTGGTATTCATAATAATATCAAGTTCTTTTAACAAATGTCTTTGTTCATCTTTATCTATTGTCGCACGAATCCTCTAAAAATGTACACGTGTCCTTTACAAAAATATAATATATTATAGTATATACACATTTAATAAACCACTAAAAATAAAATAAAGAATACAAAATCCAAGTAAAAACATAATAAGATAATTTTACAACATAAATATAATTAATAAACAATAAAAATAAAAAATAATTACTAAAAATGTGTTCAAAAAATACTAAATCAAGCCAAAATTAGGTTTTAAAAATGCTCTGGAAAAGCAGCACTTTATGCTAAGTATGGCAGAGTTTCAAGCAAAAAATGTTAAACATAAAGCTTCTCTGATTAAACACTCTCAAATAGCTATTGATCTCACTAATGAAATTTTATTTCTCTATGGTGTTATTAACCATCTTTTCATGAAGTATCAAAATTGATAGTTAAAAGCAAAGGACTTATGTGCAAGGCTATATATTAGGATGCATCCACTTCAGGATGGTCAATTTCCAAGGAAAGTGCAGTAACCAATTAATTTTTGACGTACTTTAAAGAATAGCTGAAAAATCTTGTATAGTTCAAGTCATAGGTCTTGCTGAAACTACATTATTCAGTGACAACAGAATCAATGCATTCAATATTTAAAGACCACTGAAAAATTCTATCCTGGTAAAAAAAATTCGATCCTGATAAAAAAAATTCGATCCTGATAAAAAAAAATTCGATCCTAATAAAAGTTAAAATTTACCATGAATTTTACAGACCAGAAGTCTACTGCATATTTAAAAAAAAAATTCTGTAGAAGAGCAGACAGAAAGTCATTAATAAAAGACAAATTCTTGTTTTTGTTATAAGTTGTTAAAAAAGAGACAATAAATAACTTTATCAGAGGATTTTAATAAAAATAGATATCTATATACAGACTATTTATATAGAAACATTTTTAAATAAAAAATTGGAATAAAATAAAATTCTTTTATTACTATAAGAAAAATTATAAGATTAAAAATTAAACAAAAAAAATGAACAAAATGAATAAACAAAGAAATGAACAAAAAGAATGAACAAAATAAATGAATAACACGAATGAAACTGCACGTATTTACTGAATTAATTATAAGTGAATATAACAAACCTAATCTATATTTATTACTATTTGTTTTGTGTTATGATTAGTAACTAATTCATAAACTCCTTTTTTTTTAACTTTGACAAGAACAGTGCTGAGCTGAGCAAACTCATAAGAATCAGCCTCTTATTTTTAACCTCCAATTTTTTAAACCTTCAAAGGCTAATCAAATTACTACAAACACATATTAGACAATAAGCTAAAACAAACCAAATCTAAAACAAACCTGTTTAAAACAAACTCAGTTTAGATAAACTATCAATTCATAATCTTCTTTTTTGAAAAAATTGACAAGGACAGCAAAACCAAACACATTAACATAATACATAATGTTTTCAACAAATAGATTTTGTAATAGATTTTTAGTAACAATGCTAAAAAAAAATTTTTTTTAATTTTCATGACCCTAAATTCTTACTACTGTCATTTTCTCCAAACAACAGAAGTTGTTGTTTTTTTCTGTCATTTTCTTATTGTTTTATGATATTTTAGAAATCTTAAAGCAATTTTTACAAGCTGTTTCCATTACTGTTGTTAACCTATTTTGCAAACTAGGATTGAGGAATTTTACTGTGATAACACTACTAGAAAGATAACAAAGATAAGATGAACTACTAGAAAGATTTACCAGCTCATCCTACTCTTACCCATAGTTAACATGAATTTTATATTAGAGTTTTTATTGTCCTAGGTAAGTTGCTAGGTAAGTTGCTTTCACTATAACTACAAAGGTACAACTGCCCCTAACATAAAACATATATACATTTTTTTTAAAAAACCTGAAGTCAACTACTTCAGCATATAAATTCTTAAGTATCCAAACAATAAACTATGAATCTAACATTTAATCTAACATTTCTGATTCATATTTATTCTTATTTTAATTTTAAAATTTAGTTTTTTCATTAAAAATTGTAAATGAACTATAAACTTTAAAATGCACCCTATTAAATAGAACCATAGCATTATATTTGCTTTAAAATGTGCCCTATCATGGCTTTTGCGTGCAGTACATACACCCGATCATGGCATTTGCACAATAAATCCATATGGAAAACATTTAAATAGAGAACAAGCAATAAATTGCATTATAAAAGACTTTTTTGAACTTTTGATTCACTCTGTTAAATATTTTTTTCTAACTATATCTAACGATCAACCACCACATTTACTAGACATGACGTCGCACGACTGCTAGCTGGAAAGACATTTTTTTGGGGGGAGGGGTGGTTAAAATATCAACAAAATGTGAAAATAATTCAAGTTTCTTTCAACTGGTATTTGTTAAAAAGGTGCTAACTTTTATAATAAATGCTTCAAATAATAAAAACTTTTTGGAACTAATATATTCTAAATGTATATCTTTTTAAAACGTGCAAAAATGCGTCTTATAAGATGTATCATAGTTATAAAAAGCTACTCAGTTACTTTGTTTTTTCCATTTTCCATAGGTACAAAGTTTGAACCAATTAAATTTATACTTTCTAGTTTGTCTGTAAATGATTGACTGTTTGTCTGTAAATGATTGGAATGTTTGTCTGTAAATGATTGGCTGATCTTTTTTAGTTGCTTTAATGCTGTCTCTATAATATCTTAATTTAATTTTCAGTAAATATTGTAGCAACAAACTTAATTTATGTTCAGTTTATGTTATGTTCAGTTCAACAAACTTAATTTATGTTCAGTTTTCCTTAGTCTGCAAACATTAAAAAACTTAAAAGCTGTTTGACAGATACATTAAAAAATCCAACTGTAATTTTTTAGGTAGAAAATTAAAAGTTGATTTTAATACTAGATGGTACATAAAATGCAATAGGAAAATACTTAAATTTCGAAAGTTTTGCTTACTACTTTATCCTCCCAGGAAAAAACATTGAATAAGTTGATTCATAATTGCCCCTACACATTAATGTTAGTGCTAAGAATTTTTTTTTTTTGTTAAATAACATTTAAAAAATAATTTTTATCAATTACTTTTATTAATTATTTTTTTATTTACATAATTTTGTTAACATTAAAATAAAGTTGAAAATTATAAAACCATACAAAAATTTTTTATTCTTTTAGCTTTTTGCACCATTTTCACTGTCACAGCATTTAATAAAATGTAATTTATCAGTTGTTAATAATGATTATCTGTTGCTTGATGATTGTAAAGATTATGTTTAATAATCTCATAGAGATAACTAACATGCGAGGAATTTTTTCAAAAAAAAAACTGAACTGCTTTTTGTTTCACATCAACAGGCTTGGACGCATGCATTCGCACACCGTAACTGATCACACTTATAATATTTTTTCTTTACAAATTGACCATGGCGGTTTTGATGTTTTAACAACTTAAATGCTATAAACTGTTACGTTATAAATAACTTTTAATTGTTGATCTTTTATAAAGTTTTTATCTTACGCGAAGGCTTTAAATAAAATTTAAATAAACTTATTTTTTGTAAATTATCAAATAATGCTGCATTTAATTTTTTTTTGTGTAGGCATGTTTTTTTTTATGATAAATTTAAATATAATAATTTGTTAGAAACTATTTTTCCATTTCTATCTAAAAATCTTCTGAAAGATAATTTTTTTCTGTCTTTTTAAAAATCTTTTAAAAAATTATTTTTTTAACTAACTTTTAACTTGGAATGATTTAATTATTTAATTGCTAATAATAATTTAATGGCTTTATTTTTTTTGTTTCTATTTTTACAAAGAACTGTTTAAATCTATAAATTTTTTAACTTGACTAACTTAATTTAACTGCAATTTTTTGGAAAAAATAAATGTTTAAACAATTTAAAAATAATACATATAACACTTTTTAGTAATTTAAATAAAACTTGTTTATTTATTGAACAATCTTTAGAAGTAATTTGTAAAAGCATTTTGTGTAACTTTAATAAAACGTTTCAAAAGATAAATTTTTAAGTAATTTATTTTAAATGCAATCACAAAGCGTAATAAAAAGTTTTTGTTTCGTGTTTTTTGAGTTTTATTTTAGTGCTTATATATTTTCTTTTTCATAAAGATTTGTTTTTTGTTTTTTTTTCATTATTGTTTTTTTATTTTTCTAGCAAATTTAGCTAACATTTCTTTTTTCAGCTCATTTATAAAATGTTTAAAAATCATCTAAACATCTTAACAGTTGTGGTCAAGTTGTCAAAAAAAATATTTTTTTTTTTTGACAACTTGACCAGTGGTCAGCAATAGCGCTCAATTGCACACCATTCCTGTCCAAGCTTGATCAACAGAAATTGATATAATTTTCATTGGTCTAATATATTTAAATGGATAATAGATTTCAATATATAGAATATGGGAATGAAAGTAACTCAAAATTTTCGTTTTATTGTCTTTTTGTCACTAAAATAAAAAAAGTATAACAATATATATAAAAAATGAGTTATAGAACAAATAATTAATGAACTTAAAAAGATAATGATAATAATCTTATAAAAATTATGAGCAACGATTTTGAAGATATTATGATTAAAGATTTTATAGTGATGATTAATGATCTTATAGATAAAATTAATAGTCTTCGAAAAATAAATAATAATGCTATATTATAAATAAGAATAAAAAATAAAAATACGAAGCAAAAATTGTTAGAAAAAGATAAAATAATGTAAAAGAAAACTTTTTGTAAATACAAAACAATTAAAAGAATATTATTTTTGTAATTTTTACCTTATTTAAATACTAGATAACTATATTTTAATTTTTTTATGATACCTTTACTGCCATTTCTGTTTTACTTTCTCTGTGTCTCATCTTGTTCACAGTGCCAAAATTACCACGACCTATTTCACCAAGGTCAATCAAATCTAAAGCAGTATACTGGTATATCTAAAATATAAAAACAGTATACTCGTTTATTTAAAATATGAAAGCAGTGTACTTGTATATCTAAAATAAAAGTAGTGTACTGGTAAAGTAATTATTGTAATTAAAGTAATTATCTAAAGTAATAATTACTACTCTAGCCACAACAATAACAAAAACTAAATTAAAAAAAAAAATTAATCAGAAATGAAATGATAAAGTTCATATTACAATTTCAATATTCTACTTGAATTCATATTTAAGGCCAAGAAAATTTTTTTTCAAACTTCAGATCATTATGAAAACTTTGATGATAAAACTGCTTACTAAATTTATCCAAACAGAAATTAATGCTATATAGCAAAAAAGTATATATCTGCCCATAAAAAATTAAATTTCTGCCCATAAGATGAAGAAATTATTTTTTAAAAACTGATCGCAATAGTAAATTTTTTTATATATTTTTAATAAAATTTATTTATAAATATATATATTAGGGTGATTCTAAAAAAAATTTTTTTAGAAAATGTCTGCTACCACCTGCTAAATGTGTTCTATATAATAAAATAATACCTGATTTAAAAAATTTTTAAATAAAAAATATTTTTAAGGGTAGCTACAGACTTAAAAATATTTAACGGGTTTGTCCCTAATATGATCAAAAAATAAGTTTTCCAGAAGTATGTCGTGTTGGATCTCAATTATTAAAAACTTTAGTTTTATTAGTTAGTGACAAGAGTGTTATTACTTTTTTAGTCGTGGGTTTGTTGTTTTATTTTTTACTTTTTTGCTAACACTCATATATACTCATCTTGGGCAGAAAACACTCATCTTGAGCAGGTGTTAAATGCATCTGGCTGCTGTCTTGTTAAATGTGTTAAAGGTGTTAAATGCATCTGTCTGTCTGAAGGCCTCCTAGGAAAAGACTTAAGGGGTAAACAGATTCTATCTGTTGACCAGCCTCGCACCCCTTCTTCATCTATTAGGCTGGCGCAGATGTATTTTTAATACATTGTTTCCAGTTTAGGATGTTGAACACTGGATCTTCTTGACTTGATTCATGGGTTTTGCTTGTGTATCTGTTTTTATGACTAGGCAGGCTTGGTCGGGAAGCGGGAGCGATCGCTCTCGATTGCTGACCACGTAAATAATATTTAGTTGCGAAAAGCTGGCCAGATTTTTAGTCGTTTTGAGAACATTTTATAGAGCAAAAAAAAAAAAGCGACGAAGATTAATTGGACTGATGAGAGACAATTACAAAAAAAAAAAAATTTTTTAATTTTATATTTAATTAATTAATTAAAATTAAAATTAAAAAATTATGTTTTTTATATAAAGTAACAACTTACGATTGTTTAAAAGGGAAATAAATATTCTTTATTTAACTAAATTTTCAAGTTTTAGTTTTACTTAAGCTAAATTATTTTATAAATAAAAAAGTTAATTTTTTTAATACCTATTTTATGTTTCGCGTAGTTTGAAAAGTTTAACATATTTGAAGCGATTCTTCTTTTTGTAAGATAAACAAATGAAATAATTAAATCATTGAATTACTATAGGAATTAAATAATCAAGATAAAAATCAACTAAAAAGGTTAAAATACTTAATGACCAGGAAGCGAAACTGCTTCGCAATATCGCTGATGATGTTTAGTGAGTGGGCTTTTTAATTTTAATTAGTATTTAAAGCAGAAAAAAGTATAACGAGTTTTAAGAATGGCAACTTAAGCGAAAATAATTAGAGTAAGTAAACCAATATCTAGAAACTTTTCTTTATATCTAATTATTTGCTATATATATTTGTGTTCTGTCGTGACCTCAGGCGCGATGCTTGTTCATCCGCGAGTTACTTTGCATGCGTTTTTTGTGTTTAGTAACCAGAAACTACTTAAATGTTTGTTACATAATTAGTTTTATTAACTTTAACGATTATAACTTCATTGAAAACGCAATTATTTTTGTAAGTCTTTGTTTAAATCATAAAAATTGCTTTAAAAGATACATTACGATAAAAAACAAATACACAAAATTACATTTACATAAATAATACAATCTCTTTTAAAATAAAAAATAAGAATATACTAATAAAATTTATAATAAACTTTTAAAATTTTAACAATTTAATCTATATATATATTCAAAACATTTATTTTCGTAAACAAATAATATATATTCTTAAAACAATGCTAGAAATCTCATAACGTAACAAATCGTGTATAATACAATTTCTAAAACATTTTAACAGAATACTCTAGAACTTTATTTCGCTTAAATTATTAGAAATCTAAATCATTTCAGCTTCTGTTGCTAAAATTATTTCTTTTTTAAACTTTTCTTAAATTTGTTATTCTATTCTATGTTATCGAGACAACATTACTATTTAAGTCTTACAAAAGTATTTTCCAGAACTCTCTTCAATAAAAACTCTATACTTAACTAATCAGTCTTGTTGTGTATTTTGGAGGTTTTTTAAATCTACTCAATTGGTATTGAGCCAAACCAATACCGGTATTTCGGTACTTGAAAAAGTCTTATAATACCTATATTCAGGTATCGGTACTATCGGTATTGGAAGTACTAATTTCATTCTTTACTTCTATAAAACTCTTATTTGTCTTATTGTAGAATATTTTTATTGTTTTGGACTGGTTCTTCAAGTAAAGCCCTTACTAGACAATGTCCAAAAATGTATTGTAGATTTTGTTAGACCTAGGTTGACTGTCAAGTCAAAGCATCTGTCCCATCATCACAAGGTTACATATCTTGCCCTCTTCTACCATAGTATCATGGTCGCTGTTCAAACATGCCTTTATTTTTGTTCCACTGACCAAAACTCAATCTCGCATGAGTTGTCATTTGGCAAAACTGTCTATGTCTCTTTATGCTCTACTTTTACTGTCTATGCCTGTTTATGCTCTAAAAGCTTTTTTTCATTCAACCTTCGGAATTAGAAAAAATGAGGTCGGCAATAATTTGCTGACCTCGATTTTTTTGAGGCAAAAGTTATTAGATATAAAGATCTGACCATAAAACATAGAAACAAGGTCGGCAATTTTTTGCCAACCTCAAACAATTTCAACACAATCATTTAAAAAAATAGTATAAAAAACAACAAAATATTAAAAACAAAATTACTAATTATTCAATTGCTATTATTCTTAATTTTAAATTTTATTTTCAAACACATAATAATAAATTGCAATTATTTTAATTCAGTACATGGAAGTTCAGTACTGTTGTACAGGTCACATAGACTCTTTTGTTTTCCTACAATATTTACCTCTCTAAGGATGAGATTCTTCTAGAGTCAGGAAGCTGTGTACATTATTTATTTTTGCATTATTATTTTTTATTTCTGTTTTTTCAATTTTTTTTTCTTTTATAATAAATAACAATTTTGCAGACAAAATATTCTTTTGTTAAAACTAAATAGCATAAAAGCGGTAACTTGATAATAAAATACTGGTAGAGTGTTTGCTTTGTAAATCAGAGGTAGGGAGTTCAAACCCACTCTTTCCAAGGAAATACAGAACACAACTTGCTTCTCTGTGCAGCAGCCTGATTAATCAAGGTTTTTGTTTTGGAATTTTAGGGTGGAAAGAGCGGTAAAATAACAATTAAAAAAAAGAGAAGCCTTTTAAATAAATTTAAATCCTACCTCATCTTTAATAGTTAAAGTCCCAGATGAACTTTGTAAAAGATGAACTCTAAATCAATAACTATTAAATGTAAAAAAAACTTCTGGCAAATATATGAAACTAAAAAATACAAAATAATGAGATATTCAACAGTGTTGCAAATCTCATTTCTAAAAATTATTTCATCACCACATTTCTTAGTAGTTATGTCTATTGTTATGCTTATTCTGTTGCATGGTTGAGAATATAAGTAAATAATTTGCAAATACCATGGAGGCTTAAAAATAAAAAAACAAAAGAAAACTCACACATTATGCGAACAATGCTGATGTTGTGGCGGTGCAACTGCCACACTTGGTTTCACATTTTCTTTTTGATTAAAATTTAAACACATTGAACTGCGATCAATTTTTAGATCATTTAAAGATAATCCTAACCGACCAACAGAACCTAAAAAAAAAATGAATTAAAAATGGTGACTGATCTGTACTTATAAAATTGTACTTTTAACTAAATAATATAAACAATGATTTTAAATTAAAAAAATCTGTCATATAATAACAAAGAATACTATTTTTAATAGGAAACAAACAAAATTTTTACATCAAACTATAATTCATTACATTTCTACTTTTGAAGAATTTAAACTAAATTAAGTTTAAGAAATCTGAGAAAATGACTACTATAGAAACAAACTAAACATCTAAACTTAGATCTTCCCAGAGCCTAAAATTAAACACAAAACTAAAGCCAGCAAAAAAAACTTACAAACATTTCAGGTTTAAAAAATTCACAAAACAAAAACTAATTTACAGAAAATCTTACCAGATGACATTTTAATTGAATTTTAGTGGATGATAATAAATGATTTCATTATGTATAATTTAATCTAAAATATAGTAAATGAATAAAGCAGTAAGTTATATTTATAGTTAAGTTATATATATACAACTTTAAAAGCATGTTTAGAAAAGCATGGAAAAGTCACACTAAAATAGCCTGCATATTATGTATTTCTACTCTAGTGCTATAAGATGAACTTTGCAATTTCTATGTATCATTTTTAAAAAAGTGCATTTTAATTTTTCAGAAAAAAAATAAAATAAAATAATGAAAGAAAAGATTGCTGCCCCATGCCAAACTCTTAGTCAATGTAGCAGCACTTTGCTGTGAGTTAGGCTTTTAGACAGTCGATGTATGTACTGAAGCCCCCAGCAGCAGGCTATTTCAGTATGACCTCACACTGCTCACCTAAACCAGCAGTATAAGACATATATATACACACAAACACATAATATATACATATATATATAAATATATATATATATATATATATATATATATATATATATATATATATATATATATATATATATATATATATATATACACATAAAATATATATAGATAGATATACTTAAAAACTATTTATATACATAAAATAAACAAATGTATAAAAATATATAAATGTATAAATAAAAAATATATGCAATCATAAAAAATATATAAAAAGGGTGAGAAGAGTACTCTTTTTTACTAGGAGAGCACATCAAAAAATAAAATTTAATAAGTTTCAGTGCTGTGCTTTCCTACAAAAAAAAGAACATTCTGGTCAGTGTCTATATCTTTACATATATATAGAAATACATAAATTTATTTTTAGACGACATTCTAAGAAAAAAATTTGTATATATATATATATATATATATATATGCACATAACATGTTTATATATATATATATATATATATATATATATATATATATATATATATATATATATATATATAAATATATAAATATATATATATATATATATATATATACAGGAATATATATATATATACAGGAATATATATATATATATATATATATATATATATATATATATATATATATATATATATATATATATATATATATATATATATATATATATATATATATATATATATATATATATATATATATATATATATATATATATATATATATATATATATATATATATATATATATATATATATATATATATAGGAATGGCTATGACCATGCAAATAATATTTTGTTTTGACGATTTAATCACAGTTTTTAACAAATGCACTGAAAAAATTGGGTTTTAATTACGTTGAAAATATAACTTTGACACATTTATCTTAGCAAAACCCGTTTAAATAAAGTAGCTAATGATTTTAATTTAAGTATCATTGAAAGTGGTATAAATTTTTATTTAAATTATTTAACTATACAGGATTTTTTTATAAGTAAATTAAAAAAAGTAAAAATTATTAAAAAAAAATTTTAATTTTATAAGCGATGACTTTAAAAAACTTTATATAAGAATCATTAAAGTTAATTAACTTAAAAAGTAGAAATATTTTGTTGCGAAGAAAAAAAAAAGACTTCTTGAAAAGCCATTTGAATTAAATAATTTTGATCTTTACTTATGTTTTTATATTACAAATCACTGCTAATGATTTTTTACAAAAATATTAATGAATAATATATATATTTTTATATATTTATATAAGTATGTATATTTCATTATAAATTTCTTTAAAATAGAAAAAAATATATAAAAACTTTTCAAATAAACGATTTAACTATTTTTTCTTTTATTTACGTTATTGCGAAGCATTGAAACTTTTTTTTAACTTTTAAATGTGCGCATTTTTTAAACAATCGTTAGATGCAAGTTGTTACTTTATTTAAAAAGCTTTACACATAATATTAAAAACATTCAAGAAAAACATCTGGTAAAAATAAATGGTTCAAAGTTATTTATTTCAAATGTAATCAGAACGTTTTTTTTTTAGAACGAAGTTATTTATTTCAAACGTAATTAGATAATCTTATCGTAATTTAGAAATCTTATTTTAGTTAAGTTTTAGTTTTAGTTTTTGAAATTTAGTTTAAGTTAAGTTATTTTTATTTTATTTTTTGTTATTTCTTTTACAAAGATTTATTTGCATCTTTTACAATAAGTTTTTTTTTAAGCTTCTTCATAGTTAAGTTACAATAATTTTTTTTTTTTTTTTTTTTTTGTTATTCACCTCCTCAAGGCCACGAAGGTCACTACTGATGAGGAGGCTACTTAATAGTGGTTATAACCTTCTCTTAAATATATAACTCCGAAACACGAACCCTGATAAACAAGACCGCTGCGCTGAGAAACAAGTTGAGCGCGGTATTACCAAAAACATGGTGGGGATCGAACTCGGAACCTCTCACTTATGAAGCAAGCGATTTACCACTACACCACTACTGCATTTACCATAAAACATAGAAACATGGTTGGCAATTTTTTGCTTACCTCAAACTCAACTAGGTTAGCAGTTAGGTCAGCATTGTTGAATGCCAATCCTTATTCTAAGGGATGTGTATATATATATATATATATATATATATATATATATATATATATATATATATATATATATATATATATATATATATATATATATATATATATATATATATATATATATGTATATATATAAATATATATATATATCAGGGCGCAAAAAATCAACCAACGTGCGAACGTCTGCACAAAAAAAGACAGAAAAACGAACGTCACCTTCCTTTACTTTTCCTAACGCAAATTTTGTCATTTGCCTTTTTTTTTTTTTCAAAATGAATGCAGTACTACAGCAATTTTTTTTTCCAAATAATTAACCATTGATCTTTTTTTATTTATTATAAATAATTCAAAAAAACAATTAGTTACAAAAATTTCAAACGCATTTTCAAAGACTTTAAAAGAAACCACGCTAAAGCTACTTTCTTCAATGGAACAAAGAAAATAATTAGTTTGAGCATGCGTTTAAAAAAGCATTCAAAATTTTATTTAAAATGACTGCATTTGCAATTACTTTAAAAAAAACCATGCTTAAACTTAACGATTGCTTTTTTTAATAGCATGCTTTTTTTTTTTTTTTTAATTTCCTTAAATAATATTTTCCTTAAGTAATATTAGCATGCAATTTAAAACTTATAATTTAGATCTTCTTATATTTATGAACGGTAATGTACTCGATGAGTTTCCTACCCTTCATCTTCTAGGATTAACTCTTACTTCTGATCTTTCTTGGAAACCTTATATCAAATCCGTTGCAAAATTAGCATCTGCTAAAGTTGCTTCTCTTTATCAAGCTCGTCACTTTCTTACTCTGGATTCTATTCTCTATCTCTATAAATCTCAAATCCGGCCTTGTATGGAATACTGTTGCCATATCTGGGGTGGATCTTCTAATGATGCCCTTTCTCTTTTAGACAAGGTGCAAAAACGCATTGTAAACATAGTTGGACCTACTCTTGCAGCCAACCTTCAACCTCTGTCACATCGTGGTAATGTTGCTTCTCTTTCTCTTTTCTACAAATACTATAATGGGCACTGCTCTAAAAAGCTAGTGTCTCTTGTGCCATCTACAAAAATTCATTCTCGTGTTACTCGTCATTCAATTAAGCCTCATCCTTTTTCTGTTACTGCTCCTAAGTGCTCCAAAAACTCTTATTCGTCTAGTTTTTTTCCTCGAACATCAGTTCTTTGGAATTCGCTTCCTTCATCTTGCTTTCCTGATTCATATAATTTGCAATCTTTTAAGTCGTCTGTCAATCGTTATCTTGCTCTACAATCTTCATCTTTTCTCTTCCAGTAGCTTCCAACACTAATTAGTAGTTGCTTGCAGCCTTGTTGGAAGCAAAGATGTTAAAATGAAAAAAAAAAAAAAGCTTTAAAAATAATGTTCAAGTTTTGCTTAACAAAATAAATAATCTAATAGAATATATAAATTTATAATGTTTATTATAATTTTAACTTTTTTATTGTGCGTTTAACAACACCAATAATATTTTTATTAACTTATTATTAAATACTTAATATACTATTATTTTTTATTAAGTTTATAAAAAAATGTCAAAACAGCTAAACATCTTTTTGATGTTAAAGAAAGATGGTACAGAGGAATGTAGCATTAAACATAAAAGAGAAGAAGAGACAGAAACTAAACATGCGAAAAAAAAGTGCGATGGCTTGGATTGTGCTTTGACTTTAGAAAAATTAGATATATGCCAAAAGATATTGAATTTATGCTTTGGAACACTGTAAATGAATTGCCACCAAGCAATAAAAAACACGGGCAACAACTAAGCTAGATTCATATTGACAAATCAAATGAGTGTTTCTCTTGCTGGGTTTGCCAAAAGTATCCAAATATTAGCATTGCAACCAATTCAGTAACAATGGGATGTAAATTTTGGAAAAGAACATATTTGTTACACCACAATAAAGATGATGGGCATAAAGCCTGTATTTCTAAATATCAAGAGAACCTTCACAATATAGCTCCAAGTCTTGAGAAAACTGTATCGACATCAATTTTAGGAACTACTGAAAATAACCAAGAAAAATTGAACAGACTTTTTTGGATATCATATTTTGTTGTTAAAGAGGATCTTACATTTAAAAAATTTCCTCAGCTGTGCGAGCTACTAAAGCTAAAGGGAATTAAGTTGGGCAAGAACTACTTAAGTGACAAATCTTGCAAAAATTTTGTTTTGTCAATTTCTTCTGACTTAAATTAAGTTTAGACGTATCAAATGCTCGTTTTATTGCAATTTTATCTGACGGTTCCACTGATAAGAGTATTAATGAACAAGAAACAGTTTTTTTAAGGTTTGTTAAAAATGGTAATCCAATAACTATATTTGCTGGTATTAACTCACCACTGACAGTTGATGTCGATGGTATATTAAATGCAATAGAATTTGTTTTAAAAAGGTTAACAATAGACAAAATGAATCAAGATTTATATTTAAACAATATCTATGCAAAAACTATAAATGTTAACTTTGATGGTGCATCTGTAATGTCTGGCAATAAAGCTG